AAGTGGCACAGCAGGTTCCAGCCCTGGTCCTCCAGGTAGGATGGAGCCAGTCCACTGTCAGCACACAGTGTGCAGCAAGGTTTAGAAACGCCATCAGGGCAGGATAAACATCGACCAAGTAACTCCAGCTGAAGTGGCCAGGGGGTCTGCAGGCAGTGCTGGTCTGGGCTGAGGACCCCCAGCTCCTGCAGCTCTACAGAGCCATTCCCTGCTGGCATTCCACCCTGCCATCCTTAGCCAGGCTTTCCCAGCATTGCCAGCCATCCCTGCTCCCCCACCCCATTAATCTGTCAGGGCAGGTAGGCAGCCAGTCACTACCTAACGAGCCGGCGCTACGCGTACCTCTGTCCTGCTACACTTGTCCCTCTCCCTTCGGCACTGCTGCTGCTCCATCAAAAATGGAATACTTTGGTTTTGTATGGCAGAAACCAGGAACCTTTCCACACCACTGGAAATGTGTCAGGGCCCCGAAGGCACCAATAGTCCGTAACAGCCCTGCCCAGCCCTCCAAAGCATCCTCCATGGCCCAGAAACCCATTTCTGCCCCCCTGGCCACAGATCCATGCCCCCAGTGGTGCTGTGGGATGCCACCCTCCCCCCTCCAGCCGTGGGCCAGCAGACACGCTCCCTGTGGAAGAGCTGGGAGCGACCATGAAGGTATTAGAGAAAAACCAGGCTCCTGCTGTGCTGCAGAGCTCAGTTCCTCAGACAGTCGCTGGGTAGCAGCACAAAGAACCGAATTTCAGCTTTTCCTCCCTTGCTCAGGCGATGGACGGGACCAAGAGCAGGGCAGAAAGCCAAGTAGAGAACGCCACATCAGTAACAAGTGAAATCCAAGCTGTCTAGAGGAATTCCTGCGGGGACAAATGCCCCAACCCATCTCTCCTCTGAAACAGGAGCTGAGAAGCAGGTTAGATCCTGCTGCCAGCAGTGCTGCATTTGGGGAGGTCTCTGCTAGGAGCTGACAGATGACTGATCAGAGAAAATAAACCTTGCTTCTCACCACAGAGTCCACTGAAATAACGGTCCCTGCACACAGGGTGGGCAGCCGGGAGCCAGCACGTGCAGAACCTCACGGCTAGCCCCAGTCTTGCTGAGCTCAGCTCCAAAGTCACCCTGGTTCGCATTTGTCCTTGTGTCACCTTTCCCTCGGGTGCACCCTTGGTATCTTTTTTCTTCCAAGATGGTGATTTTTCCACCCCCCCTCTCTTCCATCCTTAACAACCAGTACAACATACAGAAGGAAAGGTGAACGAAGTTAAATTCAAATGCCAAAGGGGAAAGCTTAGAGGTTTTAAAACTGTTATGTAAGCACTTACTGGAAACTGGCACCAACAAGCCCCTATCTGCTCCAAGATACCCGAGCAGAGGTAAGCGTGACAGAGTGGAAAAGTCTCTTCCCTGCCAAAGTATTTGCTGGAGATGCGATAACAAGGTGCCACCGCAGAGCAGCGGGTAAGCGTTCTGAGTAGAACGGGGAACCGAGGAGGCATCCAGGTGGTGCAGGGCTCTGCCTTCGCCGGCTGCAGCTCCTCCACCAAAACTCATGCCCGCAGCCAGTGGGTAGAGCTGTGCTGGGCTCGCTGGGAAGGCAGCAAGCTCTTCTGTCCTCTTCCTTATCTGCTAACAGCGACAGCCTGTCTTGTCACTTCGTTTCTGTTGGGGGGCTGTAAGCTCCTTCCAGCTTTTCTGTGCACTTCTGGGGACAGCGTTAAATTCAGCACTCCAAATGCAGGGTTATAATCTGAACAGACATGGGAAACTCAAGTGCAACAGCTCCAATTTCTGTTTGTGCTGATAAACTTTCAATAATTTCTGTGAATTTGATTCATCCCTGTCATATTTCCTCCTAAGACACTAATACTGTGTTTTACAAATACTAATACACTCAGTGATTTGCAAACACAGTTGAGTTAGTACGGGAGATATGGAGTAAAATTTCCAATTGCACCATTTCCCTGTAAATCCTAAGGACATAAAGCAGCCTGTGTCCCACCCTTGAAAAAAGATGCTCTTATTTGCCTCTGAAACGAGAAGCAGCTGGGTTTCAGTAGCTAAGGAAGGATGGGGAAGCTGGGGCTGCTTCCATTTGCTCTCAAAGCTCACCTGCTTTTTGTCGCCTACCAAAGAAAATTCACCAGAAATGATTCAACAGACACAGAACACACACCAAGGCAGCAACCGCATCTTTAGGCGGACACAGGAACAAGCCTCCCCCTAAGCAGTCTACAAATTCAAAACAGTCTCAAGTAAAAATCGACCCCAAATCGCCTGAAGGACAGATCCAAGTCACGCTATCCTAACAAACAACCAAACTTGAAAGGAAGTTTATCTTAATGGCCTTTACTCGGCACGTATGAGTAGACAGGTTTGATGAGAGAAATGCTTTAACCACCCCAACGACATCTCGGTTCCTCTCTCCATGATACCATCAACCATGATTTCACGTCCAGGTTTAAAAAGACACCCGGCCCTTCGCGGCCCCCTTCATCTGCTTTGCCTTCTGCCCCGAGTCTGTCAGCACCAGACAAACTGGAGGAGCCTCCGGGGTGTTCAAAGGCCCATCTTGCTTTAGCACAAGCTGATACTATCTGTGTCAGCACGTGACACTCGTTTGATGTGAGGGTAAGGACACAGACGGACTCACCCACCCCACTGCTCGGGAGACTGCGGTCCTCTCTTTCTGTAGCACAACAGACCAAAAATCCCATCTACTGGCTTTGAAAATGTGGTCCCTTTGCTGTAGTTACAGCCCCCACTCTAAACCAAAATAATGAATGCAGTGCCAATACTGCCAAAAGACTGAAAACTACACTCACTCCTTCGTTATGAAAAATGGAGCCATTCCCTAAGTCCTAACGAGTGGCACCGGCCCAATATTGCTGAAATCAGGGTTATCACAGGTCTGTGCTCCCCAACAGCCTCAACCTGCTCCCACCAGAGCCGTCCCCTGGAACAACCTAGACAAGGCAAAAAGTCCCACTACAGATTTTCTTGTTTAATTACATTGTTTTTCCATATCTGCTTATATGGCCTCTGAGGTAATCTAAGCAATCTAATCCTGTTATTAATCTTCTTCCTTTACATTAAGTAGACCAAAAATAGTAATTTTGTCCCGATTTTGGATGCTGAAAAGACTTTTTTTCCATATGAAACATGGGTAACAAGGAGATCTCCTAACAGGAAAGTGGATGAAATGCTGCAGGATTGGAGTCCACCCACAAAACCCAGCTGGTAGAAGTGTAAATAGAAACCCTAAAGAGGGAGGAATAAAAGCAGCCAAAGGAATACCTACAGCAGAGCAGGGAACTGGAAACAGACCCCAGCACAAAAGCCATTCTGCTCTGCTGACTGAAGTGAGGTTACCAGCATCTGTTCCACATCAGGTCGGCAGGAATCAGGTCAGTCCTGCAGATGCCAATGTCTCTGTCTTCCAAGATACACTGGTTTTGTGGTTAGTTTCTAAAATAAGTTTGCTTTAAAAGAAAAAGAGAACCTAACCCTTCATCCTGGGTAACAGGGCAGAACCTGAGAGCACACAGTAAAGAGCCAGAGAGAGGCAACAGGTGCCTGGCACCCATCAGCTGCAGCAAAACAGCATCAGCACGTTGAAAGCCCACTCACGTGTAGGAATATTCTTGCTTCCATAGTTGTATTTTCAGGCATGAGGATGTCAGAATTGTGCTTAAGATTTTTCATTCTGGGGTGCTTACCTCATACTTGGTGGAGAATTAGTCAGGAAAGAGACTTGGAAAGCTAAAAAACCATGCACAATTCTTTAACGATTCAAGTGCTAGAAGCATCTGCTTGCCAAACAGAATCCTCAAATCTGTTCCGACTTGTACAGGGCATCAAGTCAGGTGTCGTATTTGCTAGGACTGTAAAAGACAGTTTTCACACACCTACTCCAAAGAGGAGTGGAATCTTAGGGATGAGCATGCCAAGACAGCAGTTCTTGTGTAAGTTCTCATACTTACACTGATCATTAAAGAAACGTTTTCCTGACAAAAAATGGCATTGAAGTTTTCAGATGAGCTATTCTGGGGTGGGTGGGGTTTGGGGATGATTCTTTATGCATGATGCAGCTTCTGTAAGTCCTAGAAGTTTGGAATGGTTTTGATTTTAGTGCTTGGAATTATACTAGCATGCCTGCGTGCAACCTCATACTTCAGTACCCTAAATACCAAGCAGATACAGAAAAAGCAGCACTGATCATCTATTAGGATTCAGGAGAAAAAAATGCAAAATGAAACATACCTTTCTGCTGCCAGTACTAACATCTGCCTTTCTTGGTTTACCAGAATTCGAGTAACAACCCTGCAAATCCAAATGCCTTGTAGGAGAGGAGCCACTTCTGTGTTTTGACCATGCGCTGAGACAGGTTTCTCAGATCAGCAGCGATGGTACCGAGAAGAAAGGCATTTTGCTCAGCAAGAACACACCGGCTTCACGTAGGCTCTTTATTAAAACAAAAAATCAGAAAATCTTGAGCAGACCACAGGCAGCAGTGTCTTCTATAAAAACCATTCTCCAAAGTACGTATCCTGCAAGCGCCCGAGCCAATCCCCCTCACAGGGTAAATTTCATTTACAAGACATACCATAGTATCCAGTTCTGCCTCCTGAAAGAAGCTTCTCTGAAGCCTGAATTGACAGCATGTGACATAAGCTCAGTATTCTCTTTTGTGACAATAACTTCTTTTCAGAAATTATTAACCTGGAGGCAGTTTTTACCCCTGCATTATCTATCTGAGCATCTCCATAATCTGAGGGAAATTAAGAACTAAGAGAAGAGTAAAATAAAAATAACCTGACATAGGCATGTGCAAAGAAGTTATTTAGTTATGGGAAAAATAACTAGTAGGTACGTGAGAAAGCAAAGTGCCTTTTTTTAAAAAAAAAAAAAAAAAAATCAGCTTCTTCAGGAGAATGCAGCTTAGTCCTCCCTGAATTCAGCTTAGTGATAAAAGGAGTTAAATAAAACTCCCAGGAGCTCCCAATTCCCTCCTTTGACATACACATTCTGCCTTATATTTATTTATGCCTACTGCCCTCAATCATCCAGTCTCTAAAATGCTTCTCCATCAAGCTTCTGGCTCGCCAGTCACCAACATTTACGGTGGGGATGATCTTCTGTGGCTTCAACCACTGAACAAAGCGCTTCATTTCCAGGTAACTGCTGTGTTCACTGTAAGGAATCCCTGAAACGAAACAAATCACAGCGATCTGTCAGTCTACTTAGCTTCCTGCCAAAATATTTCTGCAGGCCTTCCAGCTAAGAAACACTTTAGATTAGATTTCCAATATGAATTTTAAAAAACATTAAGTTTATAGCTAAGTTAAATTGAAAACCCAGATCTTCCTTCTGGAAAACTGACCTTAGCATTAAGTTACCATATCATTTATCAGTGCAAACTGAATGACACCAAGTTTTTGGTTAACTGAATGTTAAAATTTTGAAGAGATTCAATTCCACCCACCAGTAAGAACAGAGAGGAAGACCAACAGCCTATCAAATGAGGGAAGTACGGAATGGGATCTGGGCTCTGGAACTGACTGCACTGCCACCAGCATCAGCTGGGCCAAAATTTCACCCCTGAAGTCCCTACATATACCAGATAAAAGCCTTTATTTGCAAGAGGAGGACAGGAGTAAAACGTATGTAAAAATCTGCATTTTCAGCGTTCTCAATTACTCAGCTCACAGACCCCTCCTGCAGAGATCCATCTGCTCTGTTCCTCAACAGGTTGTCAGAAAACACACTCGTTCCAACAAACAGTAGGAGTTTCCAGAATAAAAGTATGAAAAGCATCCACACAAAACTAAACGCACTGAATCTTTACCACTCTCATACCATATATGGTGATCTTTCCTCTTGTCTGAGGTTTGATATCCACCAGAGAAAGGCACGAATCAGAGTAGGTCCACCCAGTAGGTTTGAAAGCCAGAATTTGATCAAAATTCTCAGAAAACTTATTCAAGTGATCTTGCAAGCCCTGTGAAAAAAATACAGCATATACTTAATCCCACTGAATTGCTCCTTAGTCTAAAGGCTGGAGATTTCACGACAGAGAAACTATTAAATTTTATTTTCATGATTTGATATGAACATTTTTGTTTTAAATACCATCCGCCTTGACATTACTAATGATAAATATTTCTATTCCAGAGCACCTTGCACCTCAGCATCTCAATTACTTCCTCTGAACAAGCATGTATTACCAGCTACACCTTACAGATGACAACAAATACGGCATAATCACACCTTCTAGGTCTTGCTCCCCAAGTCATTCATTCCCTCCTCTCAGCCGGAGGTCAGCACTCGTGGGGCTGAATGGTGATAAGAGACGGTGAAAGCCTGCTTCAGCACAAAGTCATCTGGTTAATCTGAAGTGCCACTGACATCAGCTTACGTCCAGAAGGGCTCAGAGTTCATTAAGTAAGCTACCCAAAAAATTGCAGCAAGCCAGTGCACGAGCCGAGTATTGCTCTGAGCACTAAACCACGTTTTTACATCTCTCCATTCACGGCAGGAAGGAAACCACCTCTCCTCTCTGTTCACTCTAAAAAAGCAAACTGGAAAACATTTCCAAGTTGGCCGTTAGGCTTTGATGTTGTTTAAACTAGACTGGGAAAAGGATGAGACGAAAGTATAAGGAATGTACAGTCCTATTCCTGGATAAAATGAAGTCAGTATTATTTCAATCCAAAAGTAGAAAATCAATTTCACATGTCCTATATAAAATCTTCAAGCCATGTTCCCCACTTGAACGCCCTACAAGATTACAGAACTCAAAATCAGAAACTCTGTATCAGCAGCAGGAAGAGGAATACAAAATAAAGACTGATTAAAAATGGTGGAGGAAGGGGGGTAGCCAAGCTGTGACAGAACACCAACTAACCTGCCAGATACTCAAAAATCATGAAGCTGGGAAGCAAAAGCTGCCTGTGACATGGGCACGTTCCACAGCACCTTCAGTACAATGTCCAGCAGCAATGTACAGAATCCATCAAACTAGGCACACAGAATCAAAAAACCCCACCACAACACACATGCCATTCAGCAACAGGAATTACAGCTGGCTGCCATGACTCATAATGCACTGCAAATGTTTAGTCCTCACTAGATCACAGATATAACTGTAGCAGTCTAATTCTTCTTCACACTTCATTTTAGGAAGATTAACACAGCTTAAGGTAATGACTCACATGTTTGTTCCCCTTGCTTTAATGAAATCTAAATACAGTATTCAAATACAACAACTATTATATAACCAATGCTAATCTGCTTTGGGATTTTGTTATAAATCAAGCATGCAACATTCACATTAAGGATACAATTTCAATCATAAAAAAATTTATTTGTGCATTTCAATCACATTTTTGAAAATCTCGCCTCACTGCTGATAAAAGACATTACTGAGCTAAGCAACATAAAAGAGGTGCATACATTGGAAGACCCCAGTTCTCTGGAAATCTTCCACAATATATTCAAGTGGCAGAAGCCTCAATTTTTGACCGTTATAAAAAAAAAAATCTTTGCAAAAGAAGCACGCGTGCGTTTTAGAAAAGATGGCCTCTTTCCACAAAATAAATGACGACAGCGGTTATTTATAACAAGTCCGCTTTAAATAAACATTCCCATTTCTTCTTTTATTGCTTTAGCCAACACTGTTCTAAACCTTCATCCTTTTAAAATGGAAAATACGTTTCACTGCTAAAGCAACCTCCTTCGATCACCAAGACAGTCTTACCTAGCTTGTCACCGAAGACAGCAGTACATGCAAACAGATTCCATAAGGCACGAGAAGGCTCAAACATGATTAAGTAGTTAATTTACAATCAGCCCTAACACCACTGAAACTCATCTGGCTTATTCAGGAACAGCCATTCATCAGTACACACAGCCATCCCTGCAGTGTACCGAGCAAAGCCAAGCACTGCAGTGAAGTACCACGTCTACCTCAAGTACACTTGCCATACGGCAGCAATTCGTGGTTTAGTTATCTATATATATTTCAATTTTAAAAATCACACTTATAAAACAATTACAAACTTAAAGATTTAAGCGTGCACATCTCAGCACAGACAGCTCAAGCATACAGGGGACACGCGCCTGTTGTGGATGCCCCATCCCTGGAAGTGTTCAAGGCCAGGCTGGATGAGGCTTTGAGCAACCTGGTCTAGTGGAAGGTGTCCCTGCCCATGGCAGGGGGGTAGGAACTAGGTGATCTTTAAGGCGCCTTCCAACCCAAACCATTCTGTGATTCTATGACACCTTATTGTCACAAGCCTTTGGCCAAGGGAAAGTCTAGGGCATGGCACATATTCTGAGGGTGCTGTGGGTTTACAAAAACCATCTTTCAACCTGTCAAAAACGACCCCATGCACTGACCCACCTGTTTCTCCTAGTGGATTTAACACAATTACGGTCGCTATTCATTTTTGCTGGCTTCAGTTGGAGGCAGAAGGTGCCAACATTAGTCTCTAACCTCTGGTAACTAGGGGAAAGACAGAGAGAGGTTTCTGTACTGTTCTAAGCACTCACAGCTTTTAGGTGAACGACGGTCTCTGCTGAATCAATACAGTGTTTATCAATCATACATGAACAGCTAAGCTACTTGTTCTCAAATAATCACACAGATGACTCCAAAGTGAAACAACCATATTTGATACTGCTCCTGAAAATCACCATGGAGAAAAGCAGATTTCAGACAGTCCCAGAACTGGAATTAGACAGCTGGACGTGCCACCAAAGGAAAAAAAATATTTGTAACAGCGACAGCAAAAATGCTTCTAAAATTCCTGAATACGCAAGCACAAAATATCATTTTTATTAAAAAAAATCCCTGATCACAGCAGAAAGCCTGTGAACAAGGATGCACTTGCAGGAGCATCTCTAAACGATGAACTGATCTCCTTTCTACTCAGGGTAGAAAGGAAAGGTGTGGGCATACCGTTAAGTCTTGGGAGCAGTCAGCTATGGAAACGTGGAAGCTTTCCCTGGGTGAGTACAGTGGTTATCAACAGTTAACCACAAACGAGGCTTCGGCTGTGGTAAGCAGATGTAGCTTATGCAGCAATTTTTGCTGTTCTTTCTCTAGAAACAGACCAGGGAAGTTTTTCAACAGTAAGAGGCAGAAGAATCATGCTCCAGTTCTCAAAACTAGTCAAGCCTGGAGCACAGACTGCTTTGGTTTATTTTCTATTACTGAAGAGCATAACAGGATAAAAAAAGGTACAAAACTGGGGCTTCAAGGAGATACTAGAATATACCATCAGGGTTTGGCTATTTGCACTCTACTAAACAGGCAACTGATGGACAAGATCACAGATGTACTCCATTTCCTAAATAAGGCCTGAATCTGAGCTTTTGACTGAGAATACTCCCCTAAGGATTTCATGGATCTGTAGGTTCACAGCTGAAGCTACACGAGCAGAAAATTAGCTCAAATTGAGAAGTAGGATTGTGGTTTTGAACAGGGATAGGGATCAAATAAAAGAGAAGAGGCAGGAGGGACCCAGAAGATAACGAAGACATTGGCATTTAGTGATGAGGATAACTAAAAAATTCTGCCTATCCCAGTAATAAACCAGTAATTCAGGACAAAATCTGTATAATCCAGCAGAAGACAAACATGCAACTAGACATGACGACATCAACATTTACATGGTCTGTAAAAACAGGATGATATCATTCATCATCCTTTAACCAGAACGAGATTACAAGTGCTGAGATAATTTATTCTTTAAAATATTGTCTTTTCTGAGGTCACGTTTCCTGATTTTGCTGGAGCAGCAATAACATAAATGGTCATATGAACTCCTCTTTAAGCATTTGACATTCTACACATTTCACTGATACTACATTCCACCTGGGCATTTACCTACCTACTGGCCTCAGGGGATGTTTAGCCTGCTGGAGATCACCTAGCATGCCTAACTTCCAGGGACACAAAACTGCTACTGAGACCACATTCCAACAGCATCACACATGAACTCAATGCTCCAGTGCAGAGGCTGTTATACCAGGACTCTTGTCCACTAGATCACCGTGCCTTTAATTTTTCCTGGCCCTTTCCAGGCACCTCTTCTGGCACGCTGTAGATTTGTCTAGAAACTCCTATTCCCAGAGATGAGACCCGGCACATAATACAACTTCGTCTCTCTGAGAAGTAAGGCTGTCTAGAAATCGTTGTGGTATAATCCCACCCTCTGCCTGGAAGCCTGGCTACGTGAGTAAGCCATACACGCGATCCTGCTGTCATGCGTCCCAGCCTAACAGCCCAAAAATCTGCAGAAGAAACTAAAATGTATTATGTTTAAGGCAACACAACACGTTAAAAATAAATCCATACACATCTCCATTACTCATTTTCTGCCCCACCATGGAAAAGATTATAGAATAACATTAAAACGTGAAGATATCAAGTTCTGCCTCCTGCAGCTCCTATCCAAGTCGTGTAGCCTCTTTTTCTCCTTTTTAGGTCAACTCTGACCTTGACTGGTCCTGCAGCTAAATACCATCTTGCTCTAAAGGATTTGCTTGAGATGGCACAGCAGGTCTGAAGCAAAACAGGAACAAGAATCCAAGTCTGTAAGGCATAAGTGACCACTGTTTTTCTTCCAGGTTACCTTTAATCTAGAACCTGCTGCTTTGCCTTAATGCTCTACTGTATTTTGTGGTCTATTTACTAAAACTTACCTTCCCCCCAGGAATTAGTCACCTTTCCTAACTAAGAAATTACTTTAATTTACCTTAAGACTAATTTGCATCATTAAACTTTGCATCATTTAACTTACCTTAAAATTAATTTGCATCATGGGAAGAACATGAACCATAGTACCATCCCAGTCCACACTGATGAGCGAGTTAACAGCTGCTGACTCCAAGCACTGCAGTGTTTTGTACTTGTCACGCGACATACTTGCTTTTGAGCCCAGAACTTCAGCAATTGCTTTAGGATTAAGTAGAAAAAAAAAAAATCAGATACAGACTATTACAAGAGTTAATTTTTTACTTGTTTTGAAGATACTGCTAATTATTGCACTGGATCTTTTTTACTATTGAAAAAAATCCACATTCAACAGAATACAGTGTTTCATATTCTACAATTAATAAGAACAATCTGTAATGGTTGTTAAAAAAGTCTGGCTCCTACGTTTTAGCACCAGAATTGTGTATGACAATTGGAAAGAGGAGCAGAATAGAAGTACATCAGTAAGTTCCAAGTTGTATTTCTTCGGTAAACCTACCGAGGGGAACTGGGATTTATTTCAAAGAAGGCAGAAACATGCAATTTCTGGCATATGCGATAAAGAGCCCATGTTAAAGACAGACTAAGTTTCTTTGAAAGTAAATCTTGTATTGATGACTTTAAATAGACTCAAAAGTACCAACAGTACACAGCTGCCTGCTCTAGAGTACAAATGTAGGCAATCATGTGGGTTCCTAATGCTGTAACTGAGTGAAGCATAACACACAAGATTTTCATTAAGTCAGAAAAGATTGTGTTTAGTTTGGGAATGTCTTATTCAAATTGTTTTCATTAAAACTGATTACTGTAAGTATTTAGGAAAATATGTAATATGAACCTAGAAGGAAGAACTGTTAGCAAAAAAGAAGTTGAAGAATAATTACATCCCTTCGCTGCTTCTTGACAGCACACGGTTAACAACATCAAAATTGTCATAAAAACCTCATTCATGTTTTTTTTAATTGCTATTAGCAATTTTCTCACCACAATCCCTTAAATAGGTTCATTCATTTAGCATCCAAATTTGCCTTCTGCATATCTGTGGAGTTATATACATGACAAAAAAGAATTTATGTCAGAAAGTTAAAACTTACTGATTAGAAAACTAAAAAACTAGCAGTAGCATTATTAAATGTATTTCTTTACACAATATCTGACCATCAAGACTAAGTGGACCTTTACATCTACAAGAAAAAGATTTTTTAACACTTAGATATTTCTTTAGGCATTTGATCCAGTAGGCTTCCTTTACATACCTAAAAAGACTTTCTCTTTTCCAATGGAATAGGTGCCACAGACAACTAGAGTGCGCGGGTTTAAAGTCACCGTCTCAAAGGCAGTATTGACAGCAAACTGGATAACCTCTTGCTGAGAAGGAAAAGTGTATTCAGGACTACAGTACCTGGGGTGTGGAAACAAGATAGACCACTGCATTACAGAAGATAGAAGACATCTGAATTTACCAAGAAGGCCCACAAAACTGCATGCATACAATAGCAAAGTATCAAAAAAGATGTTATCCTTCTATATAATTTCAGAAATCTATTTATTAGAAACCACTAAGGTGTCCAGATGAAATTGTTGCAATAAAATTTACACTTAGTATATCAGTGTTTCCTCTACAACTCTTCACTTGTCTGACACCGACACTCAATTCTGCAGCTTTTTCCTCTATAAATATCAAGGGCTCTTTCAAGCTAGATATTTGTATCACATACTAATTACATCCTTATGTCTATTTTTTGTCATGCATAGAAACCATAACATAAGGCATTATTCATTCACAGAAACATATGGAACAGAAATAAAAGGGTGCAGCTGGGCATTAGTCATCGTACACAGAAAAACAATTTTATATACATGAGTCAGAGAAAGGTCTAATGAAAACCTGGACAACTGACTTAACCATTTGGCATTCTTTCACTCTCAGAATTCCCCCACGCCCCTTTTCATAACACAGCGGAATCCACATAAGGCCACTGTTCCATGAACCTCTTGTTTAAGAGCTGAACACAATGGATGAATTTTGACACCCAGAATGTAATAACACTTATAATAAGGCCATTTTGGCAAATACTTTGACAACTTTTCCACCACCCACTTTTATTTTCTCTCATGTAACAGCATAACAGATGAACAAGTTAGATATCAGATATTTATTGAAAGTCCATGTCTTTTACATAACACTAGAGCTAACAAGAGTTAAAACAGTCATGTCATTTATACTTACATTCATTTGGTTCGTATAAAAGTCTTACTAAACTGAAAAGAGGCTTATATTAAAAAAAAAAATTAAACACAACCTACGTGGTATCAAGGTAGAGGGTGTGGACTGGCTGACCAACCAATGCAGGGTAGCGCTCCATGGAAGGATTTGCCCGGAAGTCTCCTGTGTGCAGGAAAACCGTTCCACTTGGTAGGTAGAAAAGGATCATTGTTGCACCTGGACAACTGAAACAACCAACCACCCCACACAAATTATGTTAGTTCTCTAAGCAGGATACACTGCCTTATGAGATATGACACCCTTCCGTAGCAGGAAGATGTGCAGAGCAGCTTTTTAAGTCACAGCTACTACACATCCTAATTTAGCCAGAAATTCACGATTTCTAAAGGAATTCTAAAGCTAACCTTAGGGCCATAGGCAATCTAGACATGACTTCTCAGCTGAGATGAAGGGAAATAAAAAACCACACCAACAGTAATCAAGCATTAACTGCCTTTTTGGGATGCTCCATCTTCTTCAGGACGTGACAAAGATGCTACCTCAATTGCAATCTGAGTTCCTATTACTTGATTTAAAGGGGAAATGGCACACCAAAGAGAAGCAGCATTCTTATTCAGAAGAAATAGAATTGCGTTATTAAAGATACATCTTCATTCTTGCAGCACTTACTGAAGCATTTCCTTTAAATTCTATTTGCAGATTTTAAACATTATCCTCCATCTAGAATTCCCTGGTTATAAACACAATTCTGTTATTGGCCACAGCAAATCCATTGCACCTTCTGCAGTTGCTCGCCAAAGCTGTCTGAAGGCCAAGTGCTCAGACTGGAAAACCAGAGTGGGACTGTTTCGGACATGAATCATCTGTAAAGGGTAAATGAAATCTCAAAATAGGAAAATGTGGCATGAATCAGAGCTAAAATGACAGAATTGGTGAACTCGCCAAAAAGCTGAACTTCGTACCTAAGGTTTATAAGCCTTTTAAATTGCAGCAGGAGATCAGAGAGACAAACAGGAAAAATGGGATGTGTCCAAACTATATAAGCAACAAGGCTTCCTTCATTCCCAGAAAGGGTTCTCAAAGGACTTCATGGAATCTTATCTCTCCAACTATAAACAAATCCTAAGATAAGTGATATTCAAACCAGCCGTGACACAGTGCTGTGTTTCAATATATACTTAAGGGAAAGGACTTTTCCTCTAGCCCATCACCAAATAAGGTACCAAGAGGCAGAACGGCAAGAGCACAGGGCGGGAAGTCAGGTGCTACTGAGCTTCAAATCCAGCATTTCCACACAGTGCCAGTGTAATGCGGGACAAAACATCTCACCCTTTACCGCTGAATCCAGTAGAAGCCTTGTTGCACATTTCAACAGTCTTTTTGTTAAAGTTCAATTTTAAAAATGTTGGCTAGGTTTTTTCTCTTCTGGGATCCAAGGTACCATATTTTTCTTCACTATCTTCAGTTGAAGCTACAGAAACCTAACTTATCTAATAACCAAATCTAGGCTGTTCCCAATTAGATACCAGAAACTACCACTAAAAAAAAAAAAATTATTCAACCTCTCAACAAGCTAAAAATGATGGAGCTGTGTGTGGTTAGCACTAAGTACTCATTACAACCAGAAAAAAGTAGAGTTAAGCCAAATTTATCAAAAAAGCCCAAGTTTAATTTTCGAAAATAATTTGCCTATTTTAAAAGCTAGCTACTTGAAAGAGATACAGGCTTCTACATTGCCTAATTCACTTCTGAAGTGAAAATGTGTGTTACTAAGCCAACTCAGGATTGTGAAATATTTTAACCCTTATTTTTTCAGATCAACTGAAACCTAAAAATCATGAAAACATAAATAGGTGTACAGATAAAGTATATCTTTAATATTCCATACATACAAACATTCCATAACAAATGCAATGATACATACTGATTGGCATCGAGCAACACCACTTTAATCCCATTCACTATGCATTCTGTGTCCATTGGCAGCACGTGGATGAACTGCTCTTTCACCCGAAGTTTGCTCTTCACCAGGTTGCCAGTTATCTGTAACAGGGAAAGGATTTAATATGGAATAGAAACAAATCCTAAATAAAGCCTTTGTTTATTTTAGAAACAAAGGCTCTCAAAGCCAGACTGGCTGGCTGAGAGAGAAACTATGAGATCCTGGGTATGATCAAAGCTTTCAGTAGCATTTCACCTCTCAAAAAGGAGACTGAAAAAAAGCTGTCTTAAAAAAGCAAACTTTTAAAAGCCTGTCAACAGTTTACGGATCGGAATGAGAGAGGAGGGAAACAAGGGGGAATAACATCTGTTACAGACTGCTAAGTCAGGAAGAGAAGGTGGGCAAAGCCTTCTTCAAACTGAAGAAATTTCCAGGTCACGGGTGCTGGATTTTATCATGGGCACTGCAGTCACCCTAACACCTACTGGAAGGGCAACACGGAACACAAGCATTCCAGGAGACTTCCAGAGTAAATCAGAAACGGATTTGTGATGCAGGTTCTGGATGGATTCATCAGGCAAGGTGCCCTACCACGTTATGGGTAAAGAAGAGCTGGTTGGACGTATGATAGCTAGTGGCAGTCTCAGCCATTCCGCAGGACAGGAGACACAGGACCAGGCTAAAGCAACTCCATGAAGAGTTGGCTTAAGTGGCATCTAATTTCTGACTTCCATCACTTGATTAGAGTAACAGAGAAGATGGAGGCAGATGTTTTTCCATGATGCTCACAAGAACAACAAGCTACAGTCTCAAGCTGCAAAAAGGGACATTTCAATCGTATGTTAGGAAAAAATTTCAGAGTGAGCTAGCACTGCAAGAGGTTGCGAGGAGACCTGGTGGAATCTGTCCTGTTCTCAAAATTTGACTGACAAAGGCTCTCTGCAGTCTAATCTAACTTTGAAGTTAGACCCACTTGCGCAGGAGATCGGACTATATGGCCTCCAGAGACCCTTTTAACCCTGAATTTTTTCATGGTATCTGGACAGGGAAGTTTCACTGACATCTTCGTCAGTTGAATCAGGGTAAGAAATTCTTACAAGGGAAACCCAGATTCCCCTATACATATGCACTGTGCCTAACGGACCCAAGCATGGAACCTCTCCTTCTCTTCACTTTCGCCCTATAAAAGTGATTATAGTTGCATATGGACTTGATAATAACTAGTAATCTTGGAAAACCTTACCTTATTACAGTAGATTGGAAACATGAAGTTTTTTGTTAGCCCACAATAGTGATCAGAGTGAAAATGAGTAAGGAAATAAGCCGTACAGCCTTCAATTTCTCCATACTGGAAGGCATCAACTGTAAAACCAGTTCCTACAGCAAAAAAAGAAGAGAAGCCAGTCAGTAAATATGCATAGTTCAGAACTAGTTTTTGACGGGATGTTCCTTTTGTTCTTTTTTTGTCTTTCTTCCAAATTAGAAGGTAATACAGTCACACTGTGTGCAGCTGAAGGAGCCACTTAAAGATGGGCATGGTTTGCATAAGAGTCAACAGTCACAAAAAAGATTTTCACTTATTAAAATAAAAATTTACAAAAGTGGCCACACACAAATACTTTCATAGGCCTCCCAAATATCTGCTGCTCAGCCACCACCCGACAGAGGGCAACTGGTTAAGCAAAAAAACCACATCTGCATCCAGCTGGTATTTTTGAAAGCTCACTTAGATTAAAATCTAATACCAACGTCTTAACACAAAACAGGCAACTGCAGCTTAACAAAATACATTTTGTGATCAAACTGAAATTTTTCAATTATTACATATTTAATATTCCTCTTAAATCATGCTACCATATAATCATCAAGAAATCTTTGAATATACCCACTGAGATGCAACGTGACTGATTTGCTGCTGCATGCTTTCAGGGAGGGGCTGTCTGCGTAAAGATCCTGTGTAAAGACAGCTGTGCAGAAGACAGCCCTCTTCTCTGCAAATGCAGTTTTTTAAAAACACAACATACTGACCAACGGTTATTTCACATTGGGTTATACTTCCTTAAAGACACCAAATAACACACAGAACTAATTCATCTGGTGGCACTCAAATCTTTTTCATTTTATGTTACACAAATTTCCCAGAAATAGTTCTACTTACTTGAGGCCAGAACTTCAAGTATCTGCAACACCAAAAAAAACCATAGCAGTCTGCTAATTAATCACAAACCAAAAAATCCCCAAGTGTTTGAGAGGTACCAGCCTCAAAACCAGGAGGCTGATTTATACCAGGCCATGGGGATAAATACTTATCATTAGCAACACAGGGAACAGTCAAATATACTTCAAAAGTAGTAACAAAATTCAGAACAAAGATATTTTAGATAATAACAAAACAACTTTAAAATGGCATTGAAGGCACAGGAGTCTGCTCTTCAAATTTATGATATATTAAAAATTCTCTAAGCCTATGAAACCTATAATATTGGTATAAACCCACAATGACTTACAGGTCAGCCTTCAAGCAGAGACTTGGCACTTAGGATCACCAATAAATCTCTGTCTGGCTTCCTCAAGTATCTCCCTATGACAGTCCTTCAGCGGTAAACAGAACTGTGAGGATTTGAAGCTTTTTAAGCCACTGATCCATCATCCTGTATTTTATGTCATTGCTTGAAGAGATTCTGAGAAGTTCTTGGCTGTTTCCTTAGCTAAATTCTTCAGCTTGGTTTTCATTTGTTTTCACAGTGGTATAGTTCATATTTCTAATACTCATGAATTTCAAATACAAAATTAAACTCCGTTTTTTTAACTTAGTGTGAGGAAACAATTGTGATTGACAGCCCTACTTTTAGGCACAACTGAAGCAATGTTAAAGATTAAATTCAGGAATTAGAAATCAATATTAATATGGGATATATTAAAAAATAATTTAATAACATAGCTCCATCTCTCAATACTGCTTATTTCTACTCTGTCAAAACCATGCAAAAGTCAGCCCTTGAAATAATTTTCCTGAGATAACTATTTCACTGTGCTTCACTGATGAAGCCATTCCTGGCTTCAGTTCTGCAATCACATTCTGCTGGAGATTTGCACCTACATTAGGTTTTATCAACTTAGATGGAGGAAAGAAAATTCATGATTAGTTGCAGTCTAAATCATTATAAAGAGTGAAGTATACTGAAGCCTAAAATTAGGAAAAATAATGCAACACAAGCCAAAATTAGTTATACTCTGCAAAAAGCAAGAGTTCTCTCTCACCTGGTATTTTCTTGTAGAAAGGGCAGTGTTTTTTTCTTGTTCCTTCACCTGTAGTAGGTAATTCTTTAAATTTTTTTCTCCACCTTCGCTGGCTACCAGAAGCTACATCTGCAGAGGCACCATTTTTACTTGAACTTTCTGTAACTACTTCTGCATCTTCCACAGAGCTTTCAGCTTTCCTTTTTTGCTGTCTAGGCCTCTTTTCATTGGGAGTTACCAAACCTGATACCTTCTTTCTCTCACTCAAACAAGTCTCTCCCTTGCTTTCCTCTTTTATTTTGGGTTTTAACCCAAAGAAAACACCAATGTCCATTTGTTTGAGTTCTTTGGCAGAACTGGACTTGGCATTCATACTTGCTAAAGAAAGAGATGATGCTGGTTTAGAGATGGGGCTGGGAAAGCACAGAGCAGCTGTATTAAGATTTCCTTCTTTCTCCACTTCTGACTGCAAATTCCCCTGGTGAACTGTTTTTCCAACATCATTGACATCCATTTTATCAGTATTAGTTAAAATGTTACTTGGGTCCCTCAAAACACTACTTTTCTGTATCAGAAGAGACCGAGCACCTTCTCTGACTAGCAGCGATGACGTCTCAGTAAAACTCACATACGAAGAATCCAAAGCACAAGCACTAGTATCTTCTGAGACTACACTACCTGCTTTAGCAGCAGAGGAAATAAATTCTGGCTCTTCAAGCTCCTTGCAATTAAAAGGTAAAGAGGATCCACTGGCTAGTGCCTCTTGCTGATGCTGATTATCTACACATGCTGAATTACAGAGCTTGCCGTTCATGTGACTCTGAGAAACAGTTTTTATGCTGTGATCTAGATGAGTCAATGTATTTACTTCCTCACTGTAGGTTTTTTTAATTATGGAATTTCCCATTTTGGTATCCTCATACTGAGGCTTCCCCTGTAAAAGTCCATCATATGTTCTAAACACCACAGAATTAGATTTTTCATCCTCTAAGTTCTGAACTTTGAATAATTTGCTCTGTGATATTTTTATTTTCTTCTCCTCTTCCTCAGTTTCCTCTTCACTTTCCTCAAAAGTACTTAGTGGAGAATAAGAAATTTCACAGTCACTGAAGTCAGCTTTTGACTGTAGTAGACTTGGCTGACTTGTATCCTGACTACACAGCTCTTCTCCTGCTCCACTTTGAGATGATGCACAGTCATAAAATTCAAATCTACAACTATTATCTGTGTCCTGCGTAAGCTGACAAGTCTGTTGAGGCTTTTGAGTATCTGCAAAAGAGGAAGTACTTTCACTGTTTTCTTTTAGAGACTTCGTTTGCGGTGAACTCTGTACCATCAATGTCCCAAATGATGACTGTGCGCCTTTTACATTATTTTTATTCTGTGAAATGTCCTGTACGTGACTTGGGAAACAGCTGGACTTTGCCGCAGTAGAATATGTCATCTTCCTCTCCAAAGTGCTTGATGAAGAGTTTACAAGGTAATCTCCTGCCCTGCTTGCCGCAAGGAGAAAATGGCTATAGCGCTTGTAGTGGGATGGTATGCTGGACGCGCACAGTAAACCATCAGGACACTCTATGGAAACAGTTAAACAGAGAAGCAATGTAATATATTTGCAAGTATAGTTGGCACAACTATTAAACATTACACATGACACAAAACTTAAAAGCTTTTTCTTATAAATGCAGCTGTTGGAGGACAGAAGGCACAAGTAAAAAGTAATTTTCAAGCTGCCAAGACCTCCTACCCTAAGCTGGCTAAAAATGAGAATGCTTTCAACCTAAACCCAAACAGGTGCTGCTAATACAGCCCTATACGCCAATTAACACAGCCTAACAAGAGTACTTAACCCAGTTTCAGTAGTGTGCTAATGTAACCGTTCGACTTCTAGAGTAGAACTGTTTTATAGGCAAGCAATGAGCTCAGAGCACCAGAAAAGGCCAGTAGACATGTTTCAAAACAACCTGAATCTAGGTTCTGAATTAACCTGAAATTCCATTCCACAGAATCTTTAGGTTGGAAAAGACATTTAAGATCATCAAGTCCAACCATTAACCTAACATTGCTAATACAACCACTAAACCATGTCCCTAAGCACCACACCTACATGTCTCTTAAATACCTCAAGGGATGGCGACTCTATTTCAAAGTGTTTGCTGGATTATACATTAAATTAAAAAAAAAAAAACCACTAATGAATTCACTTAATTGAAAAAAGTATTCAGGATTCAGATACCAGCAAAAAAGCTGTGGCTGTTCTCTAAGCCTTTTTGTGTTGAGAGTTTACTAGCCTAATTTAAGGTGAATGCATAAATCAGAAGGATTTTTCATCTATTAATTATGGGAGTAAAAGATGGATATGAGGTGTTCACACATCTGCCTTAAGTTAAAACCACTGCCAAAATCAGGATTAAAGAGCTCGCATTTCATTGTTCTGGAGAAGAAACTTCAAGGAAAGTGACAAAGAAATAAAAAGGAAAGTGACTGTGTTACTTTAACAGCCTTTACTCTCGTTTCCAGACTGTATGCTTTTTGTTTCTCAAAAGTTAGGTGATGTATTTGAAACATATGTTGGATACCTGAATCTGTTCAGACATGGTATTTCTGCACATGAAATTACAAATTGGAATGTGTCAGTTGTATTACTCTCATACAGAACTCAAAACTGTGTTGTCCTATGATACAGGAATTTTCATGTATAATTCTGATTAAAACATTTCAAGTACATTGGCCTCGCAGGCTGATTTCAGCTTCCAACTGTCCACAGACAACTGGACAAGTCACACAGCAACATGGATAAAGGTTACACCTATGGAGGAAGAAATTTGGTGTCAAAGTAGCAGCCTCTTAAGTAAAGGAGGAGGTTTTTTTGCTGGCACAGATTCAGTAATTGAAACAGTTTCCATTATTTTAAAATGTTTAATATGCAACTTTAATTTCTTCAATAAACTACTAAAACTGGTGTTTGATAAATAACTATGAATCTTTATGGCCACTCCACAATGCTTTGAGATCAGATTCTGATGTAGTATTCTCACATCAGATTTCCATATTCTCCACAAAGAACCAAAAATCTCATACAAAAATAATAATGGTAAGGTATTAATAATAACATTCTGAAAATCATACCACCTACCATCTCGATTTTGAACTAATTTGAAACCCAAGGTTTACAGCAACATTATGTGAGAAGCCTTTAACTTTCTCTGAAGGCTTTTTTTTTTTACTCTATTCATACCTTTTTCAATGGATCCTGGAGTATCCAAACATTCAGCAACATGCCACCGAGGTGTCTGGACCAATAGCAAAGCGAAAGGCATCTGGCAGCTCGGGCAGTATCCATCATACACGGGCTTCGCATTTGGGGAGCTGTGTTCCGTCAAGCTACTCGCGCTTTCCTGGGAGTGCACGCTACTGTCATCTTTACACTGATCTACATCCTGATTTGGCCTTGATCTCTGCTCAGCTTTTTGAAGTGCATCATTTTTTTCTACGGTTGTTTTAGTTCTATTTCTCTTTCTTTTTGGCCTGCACTTGCCATCACTCACTTTCTGCACAGATGTCGAGATGCTCTCTGAATGTCTCTGACGCTTTTGCTTCCGAATGGATTTGTACTCCCAAATGTCCTCTTCCAATAAAGTATCTTCAGACATGGCAACACATGAAATATTCTCCTTGCTTTTAAGCAACAGTCCACAAATCTATCTTTCCTTCCACTAATATGTTTTCGCTTCCCTCCCTCCTTCGCTCTCTGAAGAAAAGCACCTGAACTCCATTTTAAAAAAGCAACACTGGGCCACAAACCAAACAGCAGCCCGTGATGGGGCAGAAGCATGGTTGATCCTATCCTAAAAATAATTTAATGGGCATCTCTTCGAGTATTTGTCATTACTCCTGTTAAACAAACCCTGAGTCTGTAAGAAGCAGTAAGACTTGCAGCGCGAGCCATTTCCTTCAGCTATCCTTGCAAGCACCTAACCCGGCCTCGGAAGGTGAAACCCAGCTGGCCCCGCTCCCAGACTGCGACCTCGCTGCCCCGAAGCGGGAAGATTTTAAAAGAAAACGACAAAATCATCTATGGGATCGCTGCCGGGAGTCACCGCACAGCGATGGC